AAAACTTTAGCGCATGTGCTAAACGCGGTATCCCAGGCTGCAAAATCTGGACGCCGGATTATGTGCGTTGCAAAATCTGAGCTGCTGTAGTTGGGACCGCCGGATTATGTGCGTTGCAAAATGTACAAAATTTGGGTTTTGGCCATTTGGTCTTTGTCCTAAACAGCACTGGCACTTGCACTGAATGCGACAGTACTAGTACGTAGTACATGAGTAGATGAGTAGCTCTTGCAATAATAGCTCTCCCTTTATTTTCAAACGACGTGAAAAAGACAGGACAAGAAGACCATCTCACCCTCACTCCTCACTCACTGACAGTCTTCTCATCTCTGCTCTTCTGCTCCCCCACTTCCAAAATCCAAATTCCAAAAGACCAGCCAGCGGGACACGCCGGCGGAAGCTCGAAGGCTGCGCTCGGGGGATGGCCGGCGAGCAGGGAGCGCCGTCTGCCGCGGCGGTGGTGGTGGCGGCGCGGGCCGCCGCCAGGGAGGTGCCCCGGGCGGCGGCCGCGTGGGCGCTGGCGCACGTCGCGCGGCCCGGCGACGCCGTCCTCATCCTCGTCCTCATGCCGCCGCCGCAGCCGGCCGCCGCCTCCGGTACCCGCATAACCTGATCCTTCCCCTTCCCCCGATGAGAGATCATTGTCGTCCCCTGGTCACTCACGGATGCTTTGCTCAGAGTGTGTTCTTTCTTTCTTCCCCTTTGTCCGTCCTCCAGGTAGAAGGCCGTGGAGCTTCCCCTTCTTCGCGGGGGGCTGCGCCAGCGCCCACGCCGCGGCGCCGGCCCAGCGCTCCGACGTCTCCGACCTCTGCGCGCAGATGACGCTCACCCTCCGCGACCTCTATGACCCCTCCAAGGTCAGCTGCCGCTGCTCTGCCGCTCGTCACTTTGCCACCTGCCACTGAAGTTTGTCTGAATGAAGTGCCGCCCTCCTGTTGCTGCTGAGCTTGGTGCAGGTGGGCCTGAGGGTGAGGATCGTCGCCGGCGCGGGCCCAGGCGCCGTGGCCGCCGAGGCGAAGCGGGCGCGGGCGAGCTGGGTGGTGCTCGACAGGTACTGACGGCGGCGCAGCACAGCAACTCGACAGTTTCTTGAGTAAAAATCAGTGGTGTGATGTTGCATTTTCTGCTGCTTGATTCAGGGATCTCAAGGTCGAGGAGACGCGCTGCATGGAGGAGCTCCAGTGCAACATCGTCGCCGTCAGGCGCTCCCGGCCCAAGGTGCTCCGTCTCAACCTCGCGTGCTCCACGGAGGAGGCACACCCGGAGCCGGCAGCTCCCCCGCCCCAGCCCGAGCCCAGTGCCCAAGATGAGGTGAACGAGGGGACGGTTTCGGTCACGGGACCCGCCGTGACGACGCCGAGCTGCAGCCCGAACTCAGAGACGCCGTCTGGCAGCACCGACGACGCCGGAGCGTCCTCCTCCGTGTCCACCTCGGACCCCGGCGCTTCCCCATTGTGTGCTTCACCTTCAGAAGAGGCCGGCATCTGCATCTCTCTGAAGAAGGAAGAAGCAGAGGATGCGGGAGCGTCCTCCGTGCCAACTTCTTCAGAAGAACCGGGCATTTCTCCATTGTGTGCTTCAGAAGAAGCAGGCATCTCTCTGATGAAGAAGAAGGAAGAAGAATCCGAGGATGTGGAGACATCTCCTCTGTCAAACTCAGCAAACCCAGCCAATTCTCCATTGTGTGCTTCAGAAACAGACAGTAGCTCTCTGAAGAAAGACGAAACCACCAACATTGATGCATCCTCTGTGTCAAGCTCAACAGACCCTGCAACCTCTCCAATGTTCGCTTCAGAAACAGACATCAGCTCGCCGGAGACGGAGGCGTTCGACGATTCCACCGGAGCATCCTCCGCTGCAAGCTCAGAGCCTGGCGCCACTACTCCAGCTTGTGCTTCAGAAAGAGATATGAGCCCTCTGAAGAGAGAAACTGTCAATGTACTATCTGACCCTGGGAGTGAAGCTTCAGCTGCAACTCCTCAGGCAGCATCAGCAGCAGCCTCGCCGTCAATCCAGCCATGGATGGCCGACATCCTGCAGCGACCCGGCGCATCCCCCAGACCAACACCAATCCGTCGAAGAACCCCGACGGCCGACGCGCTGCTGGAGAAGATCGCCAAGCTGGACCTGCTGACGGAGATCAGCGCCGTCAGGAGCAGGTCAGACCTCAACTTCAGAGGCAACGTGAGGGACGTGGTGTCCCTCTCCCGGACCCCTGCGCCGGGGCCGCCGCCGCTGTGCTCGGTGTGCAAGCACAAGACGCCGGTGTTCGGGAAGCCGCCGCGGTGGTTCAGCTACGCCGAGCTGGAGCACGCCACCGGCGGCTTCTCCAGGGCCAACTTCCTGGCCGAGGGTGGGTTCGGGTCTGTGCACCGAGGGGTGCTGCCTGACGGCCAGGCCATCGCCGTGAAGCAGCACAGGCTCGCCAGCAGCTCGCAGGGCGACGTCGAGTTCTGCTCGGAGGTGGAGGTGCTCAGCTGCGCGCAGCACCGGAACGTCGTGATGCTCATCGGCTTCTGCGTCGAGGGCAAGAGGAGGTTGCTGGTCTACGAGTACATCTGCAACAGATCACTGGACACTCATCTCTATGGTAAGCTAGTAATCTTATCATGCAAAGTTATGTGAATGAGTGCATCAGTATGACCTTGCTAACTGAACTCATTAATCTGTTAGGCCGTCACAAGGAGACCTTGGGGTGGGCTGCCCGGCAGAAGATCGCGGTCGGCGCCGCCAGGGGGCTGCGGTACCTCCATGAGGAATGCAGGGTCGGCTGCATTATCCACCGCGACATGAGGCCGAACAACATCCTCGTCACGCATGATTTCGAGCCACTGGTATGAAAATGATCATCAACCTTTGTTACGATGCAAACAAGGCCATTGCCAGCATTGAAATTTACTTCCCGTGATCATGATTCCAATGCTATAAAAGCTTACCATATACCTGATCATTTTGGAACTTAATCATGAGCTAAGCCATGTGCTAAATAAGTACGTATAATTGGCGTCGCTATGCCAAGTTCTGGCTTGTTACATTTGAGCCTGAAATTTCCTCATGATGGTGTGACAGGTCGGCGATTTCGGGCTGGCCAGATGGCAACCTGACGGAGACATGGGTGTTGATACAAGAGTCATTGGCACATTCGGGTGAGTGATCAGACATGCAACTTTCCCATGCTTGGTCAGGTATAACTTGTGAAATTTGGCAAATCTGAACCGCCCTTTTACTGTGTACAGTTACCTGGCACCTGAATATGCTCAGAGCGGGCAGATTACCGAGAAGGCCGATGTGTACTCATTTGGGGTTGTTCTAGTGGAACTTGTCACTGGACGCAAGGCTGTCGATATCAACAGACCCAAGGGCCAGCAGTTCCTTACTGAATGGGTGAGCTCACTGAATAATTACAGAACTGCTGCTATCATAATCCCCTTTCTGATTTTTTTTCTTCCACTGTTTGATGGTAAGAAACTACTCTGATAGCTAAATGGTAGTTTTCACCAACCAAAGAAAAATTCCTCTTTAAGGAATACATATTTTGTTAAAAGGTAATAAATGATGCTTGCACCATGAACCAATATGAAACTGACAGATAGCATTTTTGTGCACCTGTTCATGCTCCATCAGCAACACAGACCTAAAGCAAAATGAATTTTGTGCTGTTTTGATCCATCTGGGTCGACAGGCCCAGCCTTCGTTGGAAGAACCTTGTCCTGGTATAACTACAATATGTTCTGACCCTGTTCCCTTCATTTGGAAAACAGGCACGGCCATTGCTCGAGGAGCACGCGATCGACGACCTCATCGACCCGCGCCTCGAGGACCGCTTCTGCGAGAACGAGGTCTACTGCATGTTGCACGCGGCGAACCTCTGCATACGGCGTGACCCACATTTGAGGCCGCGAATGTCCCATGTCAGTCAAATATTCCCACACAACCATTTCACCCTCTGAAGCTCTCAGTGTGATCAACCTTCAGTGTCCATGTTGTGCTTAGTTGCTTACCCTTCTTCCTGAATGTCCTGCCTGTTTGTCAGGTTCTCCGCATCCTGGAGGGCGACATGGTGGTGGAGTCCGGCGGCTGCATCTCCGCGCCGAGCAGCGACGCCGGGAGCATGAGCCGCCGCATGCTGAGCGACCGGCTGCACTACCAGGAGCAGGGCAGCCCGGTTCGGTCCGATCAGCGTGTCAGCGCGGTGAACCGCTCCCTTGAGACCACCCTGAGGAGCGCCTGGGATGCTGATGAGCAGGGCCTGTCTAACAGGTTTTGGTACCCTTCAGCAGCTGCTGCAGACTTCAGCCAACACCAAAGATGATGAAATGTGTGCTGTGTGTAACCATGTAGCTGACTTGAGATGTAACTTTTTGCTGGTACTCTGTTTATATCAGTGGAGTAGATAGTATAGTAATAGTGCTTTACATTATGATGAGCTCTTTATATGCATGAACTGAGACAAGTGTGATGATATATACATGCAGTTGTTTCATAGTTTCTATTGTTTCTGAGAAGCTGAGGCCAATTTTGCGCTGTGATTTGCCTATATTTTCCAGGCTTAGTTCAGCCTTTGCACAGGCCACCATCAGGTGCCTTGCCATTGGCAGAATGATTTCTCCACAGAAAATATGCACAGTGAACACACAGCCCATAAGAAAGAACATGACTTAATTCTCAGATGAGCAAAATCACTGAACCAAGCACACAGGAGACGCATGACAGCAGCCAGTGCACCAGGAAAACATCTCATACATGGCATTGTCCTATCGAAATGAACGGAATAAACTGCGGCTAAAACAAGACACGACACGGGTGGGTGGCGAGGGCGGGTGCACCTCCGGTGTACACGGGATACACAGACGGCGACGAGGACACGGCGACAGATAAAACGACGGACGGGCGAAACGACGACACGCTACTGAGTACTGACAATTCAACAAGGACAGAGTCTGGAGTGAACCACCGAGGAGCCGCTGCTAGTCGGATCAGGGCACGGGACACGGACCCCTTCACTTCCCACCTAGCGTCGGAAACTGGGACTGGTCTTCGATCGCCGGAGCAGCAGCTGGTCGCCGGCCACCGCCGCCGTTGTACCCTCCATGGGCCTCGCCGCGTCCCCTGAAACCACGGCCGCGGCCCCGACCGCCACTGTACCTCTCGCCTTCAGCCGGCTTCAGGAATTCGTTGATGCTGAGGGACTTCAGGCAGGGGCAGGCAGCAGCACAGGAGACATAGCATAACGGTTAGTAGAAGATACAACAATTGCTCAGACCCAACAGGACAGGACAGAAATGCACAGGATACCTTCTTGGCACGCTCCTCTCTTTCTGTGTTTTCTTTCTTCTTCTCCTTGTCAGAGCCCTACACCAGGGGTGGTGGCTGAAAGTTAGCACCAATATGACCACATGCAGAAGAAAAGCCGCCTGATGTAAAACTTACCAGCTTGATAAATACTTCCTCAGCATCCTTCTTCACTGACAGTTGCTGCATGGACTGCAGCTCCTTGTCAACTTCAACCTTTCTCTCCTCAGCCTTTAGTGCGAGTATCGCTTTCCGCTTCTCCTCCAATACTTTCTCGTACTCCTCCAAGGTCATCTCCTGTACAGCGGTGGTCAGAGCACGTGTTATTTCAATGACTGATGTAACAGAATTTGGATGATGACATGGCATGTTAACAATTTCTTAGCAGTGCATCCCCTTATCAGGCAGACATCAGACAGGACAAACATCAGAAACAGTTCGAGCATGCCAGAGGCAACCATTCAAGCTTGTAACGATATACCTAGAACATGTACAAGCAACAAATACAAAAGCAGAACATGCATAGACAACAATACAGAAGCACCAGAAAGCTTAAGAGAAGTTGATTATGTCACGATAAGACATCCCCAAAATGAGGGGTGAAGATGGTGAAGGGGTAGTGACAATGTAACTAAACATGCCTTCATCATAATAGAAACAAGCCCAGGAATATATCAAAGAATTCTGGACCACAAACAAGGAACAAAATTGCACTCAACATCTCAATTAAATAACAGGAAGTCAGAAATTCTAGGAAAAGCTATTGCCAAAATAAAATTAAACAAGAGTACATCACATCAAAGAGAGGATGCTGTTATATGAACCAACTATTGCCTAGGTGAAATTGAGCACTGGCAACCCATTTCTGAGAATTTCAGTCTAACTGGATCAACCATATTTCATTACTCCCAACCAAATAACAAGTAAGCCTTCAAAGTGAATGACGATTCAAGGAAATGATATTTCAGTACATGTATATATGCATTTCATCTACTAATTATTTAGATGCCATCAGCAAATCAAATGGTTCACTGAGGTTAGTTAGTGCTTGGCACGGATGTGAGACAACCCTAAAATGTATGTGATCAATCGCGACAAAAAACAACGCAATACATTCTGACAGAAGTATGTAGCATCGGGCAAAAAGGAGAAGAGAACTGCAAAAGCTGACAACAAGACTAGCCTGGAAGATGAGGAAAATTTCCAGCTTCCAAAGAGCTTAATTCAAACCATTTCTGTTGTGTGACAGAAGTAGCTATTACGCGAGCAGGTGTACAGCAAACATCTAGACCGGTCGAGTAACTGTATTACGTTACATCCCTAGAATAGCATATGTAAAACATGATACTCCCTCCGATCCGAATTAATTGACGCAACCTCTATACAAAGTAAAACGGACATTATATAGAGACTGCGTCATTTAATTCGGATCAGAGGGAGTATCTCGATTGTCCAATCCAGCAAGAAATGCTACCATCACCATTGTCACCAATATAAAATGTACACGCCGTACGACTACGACGACACAATGCAAATCAATCAGATGATGGAAAACTCCATAAAAATATACCTTATCTTCCTCAGCTTCCTTCTCTTCCTCTGCATTCTCTGCACCCTCCTTGACCTTCTCAGCCTCGGGCTGCGGCGCATCCTCGGGCTTCTTCTCATCCTCTGTCACAGCAGGGGTCTCCTCAGTGTTGACAGCCTCCACATTTTCCCTGATCACCACCAACCACATAATAAAAAGCATTAAGCTCCACACATCACAACAGCAAAAAGGATCAGCATCATGCCATGAAACAGAGACTAATTGGATCAATCTTAACTGTGGGAACCCTTCATCGGTGGCAGTCCCCCAGTTGCCGCGGCCAGCGCCGTCGCGCTTCATCCCGAAGCCCCGGCCGGTGCCGCTGCGGCGCTCGTAGGAGCGGTGCGGGCGCCCGAACTCGTCCGTGTTCTGCCCGTCGGAGTAGCCCCCGCGGCGGCCGCCCCCTCCGCGGTATGGCTGGCGCGGCCCGCGGCCCCTCTCCGCGTGCTTCCCATCGCCGTCCTCCAGGCGAGGCGCCGCATAGCCGCCGCCACCACCGCCGCCGTACCCGCCCTCGAAGCCGCCGTTGGCGTCCGCGTCGCCGTAGTCCCGCCGCGGGCCGGTCCTGCTGAACCCGCCCCCGCGGCCTCCCCTCCCGCGCCCGGCGCCGTCCCCCCGGCTGCCCCTGTCCTCCGCTGCAGCCACAAATCGCATCACACCATGAGCAGCAGAAATGGAAGCTGAGCAAACGAATCGGAGAGAGAGCGAATCGAGAGGGTCACTCACCGGGCGGCTGGGTCTTGGCGGGCGGCTTGGAGCCGGGCTTTCCGGCGGCCGGGGCCGGCGCCGCGGGCTTGGGCTCGGCGGCCTTCTTGGCGGCGGCGGCGGCGAGGAGCTGCGAGGGGTCGTCGTTGTCGACGTCGCCGAGGAGATCGAACTGGTTGGATGTCATCTCCGCCGCACCGCACCAAACCAAGCACTCAGATCAAACGAGCTCAAAAAACCTCCGGCGCGAGCGAATCTAGCAGGAGGCCGCCGGCATGAGCGACGGACGGGTTGGATTGGGTGGAGAGATTAGGGTTTTGGAGGGAGGGGAGGTGGTAAAACCCTAGCCGCCGCCGCCAACGGAGAAGAAGCCGCTGTGTGTTGTGCTGCTGGAGCTGTGGGAGTGTGTGGGATGTGACAGCGGAGTGTGCTGGCCTCCGTTTTCAGACCGCGGGCGGAGGGGGAATGGCGGAAATGGGGCTGGGGGAGAGGGGTAATTACGGGTATGCGTGGGTTGGGGGGTGCTGGGGCTGGGGGTGGTTTGGTCATTTGAAGGTGGTTGTTGGGACGGCGGTCGTGGGCTTCGGGCGTGGGTGTCGGCCTGCCCTGGGTTCGTGTATGGGCCTCGGGAGTTGATGGGTCGCCACCAAGCCCATTCGCTACAAATATTTTTTTTTCCATTAACACACTGCGCTGTACTTTGCTCTTGCAACATATTTTTCTGTTTTTGTTCATGGGTTGAGTACTTCACACACACAAAAATCATATGTTATGTTTGAATTTTAAATCATATTATCTCAATACTTCCATATATTCGCTCGCGCGGTTCTTGCTTCCTATTACAAGTGATGCAAAGCGTGTGTTTTGTACGGGCGGTTCAAAAGACCTTATTCGGTATTGATACAATCCAATATGACTTGTTTTCATTGCTCTCATCAAGTTTATATGAAACAAGATGTTCAATATACCGGTCTACTAAATAATAACTCTGTCTATTTTACAAATTTGTGTTCTCTTTTATCTAACGTCCACCTTCTTTTTCGAATGGAGACAAAAGATTTGCCGTTGCCTCATTTATTAAATAAGAGGAGAATAGAATTTTGCAAGTGACTTGGAATATACGGCATGACAATTACTCACGACAAACAGTAAGCCCTAGTTTCTTAGCACCCGCTATCAGCCATATATTCGCCTCATTGATGATACCTTTTGAGGAGGATTGGCAGCGGCGCACTCTTGTGTCGGAACACCCGTGCATTTATCTCATTCCATATTGTTCAAGAGACAAGCATGATGAGGGAGGCCACAACCCTCCTATAGGGGTTTCACATGCCGGTTCTCTTATCCCACCATTCAAACACTGATTTGTCAAGGTGCCAACTGAAAGTGTCCATGTGCACAAGCCCAAACTTTTCAATGACCAATCGGCAAAGCCTAATAGTGAAGCAGCACATGGTGAAACGGTGAATGCTCATTTCTTGCTCCCGCTTGCAAACTGGGCAAAGTCCACAATTTGGCCAACCACATCGTTCCAAACGTCGGCGGTCCAAATCCGGTCTTGCAAAGCCAACCAGGCGAATAATTTGACCTTTGGAGGGGCCCAAGCTTTCCAAACCATGATATCCATGTGGGATAGCGTCAAAACAAGGAGGCGCTTAATGGGAATGCATGGATGATAAATTTGGTGAATGTATGCGGTTGCTGCCGAGTAAATCCCATCAACAGTGTTTCCAAACAATGTCATCTTCGACATTCACGTCAAGATGGAAAGTCATGAACTAACATCCAAAGGGTGAAGAGCTCCCAGATGTGGTCACTAGAGATGGCGGTGTCTCGGTTAATCATTATCACCCATGCATTCCCATTAAGCGCCTCCCACTTTCCAATTCTTTCTCCTTGAGGCTTCATGAATTAGTGGTGCAATATCCTTGGGCTTTTGGCAAAGTAGCCACGGAGAATACCAGAAGGGCGTTTTTTGCCCATTACCGATGATGATTCTGGTAGAGGCATAGAAGAAATCGAGGTCTTCGTCGGTGCAAAGGTTTCCCAACCCGACCCAAAGATTGTTGGGTGCCTTCCATTTGTACCACATCCATCACAACCGCCAACCCAGGACAAATTTATCGGTGTTGAGAACCCCAAGGCCTCTATAAGTTGACTTTGCATTTTGCACCGGTTGTCTTGTCCGAACCAGACCAAAGGAATGCTCTCTCAATCTTGTTAATGTTTTGAAGAGAGCCCTGCGACATGATGAGGGGTGTGATGGAGTACACTGCCTAAGAGGTGATTACCGATATGACAAGGGTCGTACGCCAAATGGTAGTGATGCTTTGCCCCTCATAAGTTACCAGTTTACCCGTCACTTTGCCTTCCAGATATTGGAAGTCCACCTTTCTGAGCTGCCATACTGAAAGCAGGAGACCCAAATATTTTCCAGGGAAAGTTGCTCGTGCCACAGCTCGAGCTCCAGGTGGTTGCAACGAATTGGCACGACCGAGCTTTTATTGGTGCAGAGGCCCATCATGTCACCAAGGGCCCGCAAGATGAGCGATAGGTTGTCAATGTCCCTCTTGATTGGGGCTATAAAGATGACTGCGTCGTCCGCATATAAGGAAGTTCTCACCATGGCACCATGATAACCCACAAGTATAGGGGATCGCAACAGTTTTCGAGGGTAGAGTATTCAACCCAAATTTATTGATTCAACACAAGGGGAGCCAAATAATATTCTCAAGTATTAGCAGCTGAGTTGTCAATTCAACCACACCTGGAAACTTAATATCTGCAGCAAAGTGTTTAGTAGCAAAGTAATAAGATAGTGGTGATAACGGTAGCAAAAGGTAACAGTGGTAAAAGTAATGTTTTTGGTATTTTGTAGTGATGATAGCAATAGCGACGAAAAAGTAAATAAGCGAAGAACAATATATGGAAAGCTCGTAGGCAATGGATCGGTGATGGAGAATTATGCCGGATGCGGTTCATCATGTAACAGTCATAACCTAGGGTGACACAGAACTAGCTCCAGTTCATTGATATAATGTAGGCATGTATTCCAAACATAGTCATATGTGCTTATGGAAAAGAACTTGCATGACATCTTTTGTCCTACCCTCCCGTGGCAGCGGGGTCCTTACAGAAACTAAGGGATATTAAGGCCTCCTTTTAATAGAGAACCGGAACAAAGCATTAACACATAGTGAATACATGAACTCCTCAAACTACAGCCATCACCGGTAAGTATCCCGATTATTGTCACTTCGGGGTTAATGGATCATAACACATAATAGGTGACTATAGACTTGCAAGATAGGATCAAGAACACTCATATATTGATGAAAACATAATAGGTTCAGATCTGAAATCATGGCACTCGGGCCCTAGTGACAAGCATTAAGCATAGCAAAGTCATAGCAACATCAATCTCAGAACATAGTGGACACTAGGGATCAAACCCTAACAAAACTAACTCGATTACATGATAGATCCCATCCAACCCATCACCGTCCAGCAAGCCTACGATGGAATTACTCACGCACGGCGGTGAGCATCATGAAATTGGTGATGGAGGATGGTTGATGATGACGATGGCGACGGATTCCCCTCTCCGGAGCCCCGAACGGACTCCAGATCAGCCCTCCCGAGAGGTTTTAGGGCTTGGCGGCGGCTCCGTATCGTAAAACGCGATGATTTCTTCTTCCTGGTTTTTTTCTCCCCGAAACACAATATATGGAGTTGGAGTTGGAGTCAGAGAGGCAACAGGGGTCCCACGAGGTAGGGGGCGCGCCCTAGGGGGGCAGGCGCGCCCCCCACCCTCATGGACAGGTGGTGGGCCCCCTGGCCTTCATCTTTTGCAGGTATTTTTCATATTTTCTGAAAAGTTGCTCCGTGAAGTTTCGGGTCGTTCCGAGAATGTTTGTTCCTGCACATAAATAACACCATGGTAATTCTGCTGAAAACAACGTCAGTATGGGTTAGTTCCATTCAAATCATGCAAGTTAGAGTCCAAAACAAGGGCAAAAGTGTTTGGAAAAGTAGATACGTTGGAGACGTATCACCTTTAAAGACTAAGGACTGACTAGACATAAATGCAGAGCACCTTTAAAGACCAAGGACTGACTAGACGTTGTAATTCATGGTAAAAGAGATCCAGTCAAGTCATACTCAACGTAAACTAACAGTAATGAATGCAAATGACAGCGGTGCTCTCCAACTGGTGCTTTTTAACAAGAGGATGATGACTCAACACAAAAGTAAATAGATAGGCCCTTTGCAGAGGGAAGCAGGGATTTGTAGAGGTGCCAGAGCTCGGTTTTGAAATAGAGGTGAATAATATTTTGAGCGGTATACTTTCATTGTCAACATAGCAACCAAGAGATGGCAATATCTTCCATGCTACACACATTATAGGCGGTTCCCAAACAGAATGGTAAAGTTTATACTCCCCCTTCCACCACAAGCATCAATCCATGGCTTGCTCGAAACAACGAGTGCCTTCAGCTAACAAGAGTCCCAGGGGGAGTTTTGTTTGTAATTATTTTGATTTAGTTTGCATAAAGCATGGGACTGGGCATCCCGGTGACCAGCCCTTTACCTCGTGAGTGAGGAGCGAAGTCCACTCCTCTTGAGAATAACCCGCCTAACATGGAAGATGCAGACAGCCCTAGTTGATACATGAGCTATTCGAGCATACAAAACAGGATATTTATGTTGGGGATCGTAGCAGAAATTCAAAATTTTCTACGCATCACCAAGATCAATCTATGGAGTAATCTAGCAACGAGGGGAAGGAGAGTGCATCTACATACCCTTGTAGATTGCTAAGCGGAAGCGTTCAAGTGAACGGGGTTGATGGAGTCATACTCGTCGTGATCCAAATCACCGATGATCCTAGTGCCGAACGGACGGCACCTCCGTGTTCAACACACGTACAGCCCGGTGACGTCTCCTACGCCTTGATCTAGCAAGGGGAGAAGGAGAGGTTGGGGAAGACTCCATCCAGCAGCAGCACGATGGCGTGGTGGTGGTGGAGGAGCGCGGGACTCCAGCAGGGCTTCGCCAAGCACTAGAGAGACGAGGAGGGAGAGGGGTAGGGCTGCGCCAACAGGGAGAGCAAATCACATGTGTTGGGCAGCCCCAAACCTCAAGTATATATAGGGGGAGGGGAGGGGCTGCGCCCCCACCTAGGGT